ATTCAGTTCAATTCAGTTCAATTCAGTTCAATTCAGTTCAATTCAGTTCAGCCAGCTAGTCAGTCAGGTCAGTCAGTTCAATTAGTCCAGTTCAGTTAGTTCAGTCATTTCAATCCAATTCAATCCAATTCAATCCAATTCAATCCAATTCAATCCAATTCAATCCAGTTCAATCCAGTTCAGTTTATTCTGGCCATTTAGTCAGCTAATCAGTCAATATACCCAATTCAGTTCATTTCAGTTCAGTTCAGTCAGTCATTTCCACTCAGCCAGTCAGTTCAGTTCAGTCAGTTCAGTTCAGTCCACTCTTACACATAACTCAGTCAATTCAGTCAACTTAGTCAATTCAGTCAGTTCGGACAGTTCAGTTCAGTCAACCAGCCAGCCATCCAGCCAACCACCCAACTCGGTCAGTGAGTTCAGTCAGTTCAGTTAATTCAGTTCGATCCAGCCAGTCAGCCAAGCCAGCCAGCCAACCAGTCAGTCAATTCATTCAGTTCAGTCAATTCAGTTCAATTCAGTCCAGTTCAATTCAGTCCAGTTCAATTCAGTCCAGTTCAATCAACCAGTCAGTCAGTCAGCCAGTCAGTTAAGTCAGTTCAGTCAATACATCCAACTCAGTCAATTCAGTCCAGTTCAGTTAGTTCAGTTCAGATCAGTCAGCCAGCCAGTCATTCAGCCAGTCATTCAGCCAGTCAGTCAGTTTAGTTAGTTCAGCCAATACACCCAACTCGGTCACTTCAACCAGCCAGTTCAGTTCAGTTCAGCCAGTCAACCAGCCCGCTAGCCAATCAGTTTATTTAGTTTAGTCAGTTCAGTCAGTTCAGTCAGTTCAGTCAGTTCAGTCTAGCTCAGTTCAGTCTAGCTCGATTCAGTTCAGCCCAGCCGGCCAGCCAGCGAACTCAGATCAGTCAATTCAGTTAATTCAGTTAATTCAGTTCAGTTCAGTTAGTTCTCAGGTCAGTCAATACACCCAGTTCAATCAACCACTCAATTCAGTCAGTTCAGTTTAGCCAGCCAGCAGCCAGCCAGCTAGTCCAGCCAATCAGCCATCTAGTTCAGTTCAGTTCAGTTCAGTTCAGTCAGTTCAGTTCAGTCCAATTCAATTCAATTCAGTCCAGTTCAGTTCGATTAAATTAAATTAAATTAAATTTAGTCAGTTCAGTTCGTTTCAATCCAATTATTCATTTCAACTCAGTTCAGTTCAGTTCGATCCAGCCAGCCAACCAACTCAGGTCAGTCAATTCAGTCAGTTCAGTTCAGTCAGTTCGGACAGTTCAGTCAGTTCGGACAGTTCAGTCAGTTCGGACAGTTCAGTCAGTTCGGACAGTTCGGACAGTTCGGACAGTTCGGATAGTTCGGACAGTTCGGATAGTTCGGACAGTTCAGTCCAGTTCATTCTAGCCTCCAGTTCAGTCCAGTCAGTCCAGTCAGTCAGTTCAGTTCAACCAGTTCAATCTACCAGCCAGCCAGTCAGTCAGTCAGTTCAACTCAATTCAGTTCAGTTCAGTCCAGCCAATCAGCCAGCCAGTTCATTTCAGTTCAGTCCAGTCAGTCAATTCGACTCAGCCAGTTCAGTTCAGTTCATTCTAGCCATCCAGTTCAGTCCAGACATCTAGTTAAGTCCAGTCAGTCCGGTTAGTTCAGTCAATACACCCAATTGAGGTCAGTCAATACACCTAATTCAGTCATTCAGCCAGCCAGTCATTTAGATAGTTAGTACACACAGTTGAGTTGGTTTAATCAACCAGCCAGTTCCTTTTAGTTCATTTCAGTTAAGTTCAGTCAATTCAGTTCAATTTAATTTAATTTAACATAGCATAATTCAATCCAATTCAACTCAGTTCAGTTCAGTCCAATTCAATCCAGTCAATACACCCAGTTCAATTCAACTCAGTTCAATTCAGTTCAGTTCAGTTCAGTTCATTCATCCAGTCCACTTCAGTTCAGTTCAGTCAGTCAGCCAGCCAGCCAGCCAACTCAGGTCAGTCAGTCAGTCCAGTTCAGTCCAGTCCGTTGGTTCAGTTCAGTTCAATTCAATTCAGTCAGTCAGCCATCCAGTCAGTTCAGTCAGTTTAATCCAGTTCAATTCAGTCCGTTAGTTCAGTTCAATCAGCCAGTTCAATCAGTCAGTTCAGTTCAGTTCAGTTCAGTTCAGTTCAGTTCAGT